AATTATTCTTTGTAAAGAAAAGCCAGTAATCAAATCATCTTTTGCCTGCAAATAATATTGTACCCTGTGTGTAAAATACAGGGGTTGGACAATGAAACTGAAACACTGGCCAATGTTGGAGGTTTCACATCTATATGCCTGGCGGCCAATCTTCAGAGTGAAGCACGGGTGGATCAGTGATGGTTTTAGCTCCAATATCATGACAATCCTGATTGTATTTGATGGACACGACACTGCCGAGGACTACCAAACCCTTCTGGAGGATCATGAGCACCTGATGCTCAAACCGTGTATCAGTATGATCATGCACCAACACACACAGCAAGACTTGTGACAGAAGGGTTTGATGAAGATGAAAGTGACGTTGAACATCTCCCATGGTCTGACAGTCACCAGATCTGAATATTATTGAGGTGTTTTGGAGGAGCGAGTCCACCAGCATCATATAGTGACCTGGACACTGTTCTGGAAGAGGAACGGCTCATAATCCCTCTGGTCACTGTGAAGCACTTCTATCTGTCAATTGGTGCTGTATTTGGATGCAAAATGAGGCCCTCACCATTCTAACAAATTATTGTGTAGTAAAACCAGGTGTTTCAGTTTTTTTGTCCAACCCCTGTAATATATTAGCACTTATTCTGAAGTTCCTATGAAGCAACTCATCTCTAGTGCCAGTTTTTTTCTTTAAGTTGTCAAGTATTTTCAATACTTTTTTTTTTCTAGGGGTAGGGGTGAACCAGTCAACACATGGCTTATGCATCAAAAATTAAAAGGAAAAGTACAACACTGCCCACCTCTGCATCACTGCTTTGTGCAGACTCTTCTGTAGATGTGGACTCCTGCAACTCATATTGCATTCAGAAATAATAGGTATTCAAGTGTAAATTAAAGGCACACTATGCACTCTCTGTTTTTTTTGTAAAACAGTGACCTCTAGAGCCGCTGTGGTGTACTTGCACTGTCGTAAATAACCGTTATTCCCCTGTTACTGCATATACTGTCAAGTGCTAGACTGCTTTTTAATAATAAAGTTGCCTATCGCGTTTGCTGGCTTATAGCGTTTTTACATGATTTCTGCAAAATCAGAAGTAAATAGCCTATAGTGTATAGGCTACTGTATAATTTCATTCATGTTTTTTGATTGTAATTAGGGATGGGGCCGATCCGATCCAGTATCGGTATCGGGACCGATACCAGCATAATTCACGTATCGGATTTTTCCGATCCAACCTGCGGAGAAATCCGATATTTATGATCCATGTCTGCGCTTTAACGTTGTCTGCTGAAATGACTCCAAAAGTGATTCCCGCCGGGCCTGCTAGTCTGCTATAGCTGGCTGCAAACTGTGGAATGGATACCCTGAACGGAGGTGCAGCTCAATCAGTGACTGTAAAACATAGGGCTCAATGAGACACACCCCCGCTCAGGAAATCCATTCCGCAGTTTGCAGCCAGCTAGCAGGATGTTCGCTGTGTGGAAATCATATGGTGGAACTGGAAACACCGCTGCAGTGCAGAGCAAGACAGCAAAGTGCAATGTTTGCAAAGCCGTATTAATTAAACTATTTGATGCATGTTTGCAATTCGCAGTCCAGAAGAGAAAGAGAGAGAGATCTCTCACGCGGTGCCACAGCACGCACAACATGACAGCCCGGCGTAATGAGTGACGACAGAGGAAACGTAGCCTGGTTACACTTTAGATCTGTGATATTAGTCTGATTTCCAAATATTAAAGAATATATTGAGGTAAAAAAAAAAAAAAAAACATTAAAAACAATAGCCGCATTCTGTCTAGCCAACTTCCTTCCCATCGCGGCGGTGCGCTGTCATTTCTCCCTAAAACTCAAACTTTAATACAGAATCAGCACGATCGATGATTGTAGTAAAATGCAGTATCTGCTGTTACTAAATTGCGGGACGCTTTTAATAATAAAAAGAGCTATTAAAAGCACAAAATTTGCTCAAGAGATGCTGTTCCCAGTGCGGCGCGCTCCGAAACAGACCGCAACAAGACAAGCAAATTATACTCTGGGCTTCATATTCGCGTCTAAACGATCAAATGTAGCCTGCACAAAAATGTCAAACCGACCGACTTGGAGATTAACACTTAAACAATTTTTTTATGTCTAAAATGAACGTAGTTATGGAAATATTTGGGAGAAAATATGGTGCATCAGTAGACTATGAAATCTGAACTCGTTCTTAAAGGGGCAGCAGTATAAATGTGACGATTGCGACATTACTGAGAATCAAACAACCAAAGGCAAAGAGAAAATCACTCACAGCTCTTGAATGAATTACTTCAGCTTTAATAAGCATAAATCTATCTATGATAAACTTTGCAGTGCTATTTTACTTTTGATTACTTTATTATAATTCTTTTTAAGACCATACCTGAATAATGTTTGTAGACCTTCCTGAAATTAAAGCACTGTGTAGGCCTGTATAATGTGTATCTTTGTTTAATTGTCTATCTATTGTTTAATATATATATATATATATATATATATATATATATATATATATATATATATATATATATATTTATATATATATTGACATACATACATACGTATATCATCCTTGCCTGTAGAGAGGAGTTTATTTCAGCATCATATAAAATCAACAATAATGATAAATACTATTAAAGCAAACACAGCTCTGGTATCGGAAAAGTATCGGTATCGGCCGATATCCAAAGTCAGGTATCGGGATTGGATCGGAAGTGAAAAAATGTGGATCGGTGCATCCCTAATTGTAATGTTAAAATTACAAAATGTCAGATGACATCAATCAAGTTAAATGTACGTCGCATTATTTCATAACATTGGACGTTATGATTTAGACATGATTACAATTTATCATAATAGCAAATTGTGTTCAATTATTTACAACCTCTAGGCTTATATATGTCCTAATAATTATGTGAGATATTGACTATGTCCTCATGGTAATCGCAAGAATCAACATCAACAGCGTCAAGATTTGATTGATTCATAATCAACACAATTTGAAGTTACAGTCGGGAAGTGTACTGTTAGTCAGATAAACTTGATATAACAGTAACTTACACACGTCATAAGAAATCCGAACCAGACACAGGACTAAAGATACGTGATAAATACACATCACAACACCTGAGTTCAGCTGGCAAACTAGCTCTTGTGGCAAGCTCGGCAATAAAACATAACGGAAAAAACAACAAGACTAAGAGAAACGACTGTTTTTAGGAAGTCTGCTTAAAGCTCTGGTAATCGAAAGCTATAGACATGTGAGAATTATTGAACTGGTCTTATTATCAACAACGGATGAATGAACAGCACCGTAAAAAATTACATACCACAGTGCAGCAACATACAATATAGAAACAACTAGTATACAAATACAAACAAGTTTATAAATAAGAGATTTACTTACAAGTCCATCAACAAGATCGCCAGGTCAGCATCGCAGTTACAATCCAGTGCAGCTTTTAAGCTCGCGCCAACGAGTGAAAGCCCGACCGAGTGGACTCTTGTCCGGTTTCTAGCACGGTCCGATTCTCTTTCCCTGTTTCGAAAGTAGCTTCATACAGTATGATGTTGTTGATGCGTGTGACGTCGTTGCCGTAAACCATTTCGTGATTCTCACGCGCTGTGTCAGGGGCGCCACTCTCAAACTTGCATGGCTGGTTTTTCCGGCGGCGTCCCCCCCAAGCTTTCCTACCAGGATGATTCGCCCTACTATGACTTTGTTAACCACCAAAACGACTTTGAAGCTGTTATATTAAGGTACAGATCTTGCATAGAGTGCCTTTAAGTAAAGCTATTTATGCACTTAAAGATACCTGAGAGGGTTTCTTCACTGTCCTGTGCATTGGGGAAAATTGGCATTACAAAGTGTTGTACTTTCTTCCCTTTTGATGTAACATTAGAAAAAGTCCACTTACTGCACATGCTTTAGCCACTTGCTTGGGAACACATAAAAGTGTTAGTGTATTGAAGTGATAATGAAGTACACTGGGGGGAAATGTGATCAATAACTCATGGCAACATTTTTTTTTTTTTACATTAAGTTATGTAGTTAATTAATTAAATTATGTAGTTTCACAGTCACACATGTAGACTTTCACAAGTCAAAGCAATTCACTACTACTCAAGGTTTAACAGCTGATATGACTGGACAGCCATTTGGATTATAGGCCTACTTAATTTAATGCAGCAACAAACTATTTTATAGTGTACTAGGATCATTTAAAGTTAATTTACCAGCAGTGAAGGCGTTTCTGCTCTTGGCTGTGGGTCTGAGGAAGAGCTGAACACAAGGATGCCCTCCACAAGGTTCACATTTAACCCAAGGGCCAGCTCTTCTGCCTGGGAAATGTGGGGGTGCAGGACCACCGCCTGTTTGTTTTTCTTTTCATTTTTTTCTCAGCCTTTTTCTTGTTTTTATATCCTATGTTCTAGCAGTGAGTGTGACTCTGACATTACAATGAAAAAAGTTATTAATTATTTAGAAATTATTACAATATAAATAAAATATAAAAATATATACTGCAATAAGTGATAAAAACATCTAACTACAAACTTAATTTGTCTGGTACTTTTTGCCGGCTCTCTCTCCTGGCTTTTGCACACTTTAAGGTGTTTCCAGCGTTTTAATTAAGTTTTCAAATTCAGCTTATCCTTCAAGCAATAACTCTTGCTTTTCTGTGGAGAAAAAAGCTGAGCGTGCTCTTTGTCCACGCGTCGAACAGCCAATAGCAGCGTTGCTGATCAATGTTCCTACTATCGATACATATCCCCTTTTAACCCAGCGCATGAACGCGCAATCATCTCACATAACTCAATCCAGCTATATTAATCATAACCGGCAGGAGTGTTCGAAGAACCAAATTAGCCGGATCATGATGAGCATGATGATATTATCTTGGATGTCTCATTTGATCTCGGATGTTTTAAGCAACGTACGAAAAACAGGCCCCTGGAGTGTGTAGTGGTGTTTGTGTAAAAGTTTGTTAGGATGGAGTTCCTGAAAGTTATCTTAGAGGTGGTTGTTGCATTTGATCTGCCTGATGTCTTGGGAAGTTTAAGGTACAGTCATAGTCCAAGAAGCATGGGGCCAAACATGGGCTCTGGAACACTTTGCAAGTGGCTTCTCAGTTTCAGAGTCCTTTGGCTTCTGTCTCCAAAAGCCTTGTGCAAGAGCCTTTTGGCCTTCAGGGGAAGCAGCTGTTACAGGGTCCTGTGAAGCCTCTGGATTGGAGGTATCCCATCGTTCCCGAGGTGCAGAGTCAGTTGGTGATGGACTTCCAGTTGAGGCAACCTGTGACTCCCAGCAGCGTAGTGGTTCAATGTGGTGAGAACCGGGTTCTCGTAGAGTTCCAGCAGGATTTTTTTCAGCAATGGTCAGTTGATCCAGCCAACTGGACTGTCTTTAGGCGGATGTCGGCTTGTGTTAACTGCCGACCACTGGGCCAGTCCACAGACTAATAAAAGGATTGTGCAGACTGCTGGGCCAGAACACAGACTGGTAGCTGGATTATGCTGACTGCAGACTGCTGGACTGGTCCACCGGTTGGTGTCGGTCTTGTATTAGTTGCAGACTGATAGGCCGGGACACATACTGGTAACGGGTTTGTGCTGACTGCAGGCCACTAGGCTGGTCCACAGACTAGTAACAGGTTTGTCCTAAATGAAGACCACTGAGATATGGTCCAGAACCTGTGAGCTGCCTTAAGCTGGTTGTTGAATGCCAGACTCAATCATCCCTTCCTTAATTTGTTTCTTGGTGAAAAAGACTGCTTGTGTTTTTTTTTGTGTGTGATCTTTTGGTGTTCTACCATTGCAGTGCACCTTGTCCCATTCATAGCATATGAGTGCCTCGTCTTGGTGTATGTATCTTTGGAATGACCCATTTGGTAACCACAATCTTTTTACAGCTGAATGAGGATGAGCTTGTCTACAACTTCTCTCTTACCTACACCCCTGAGGCGCTTGCAGGTGCTTCGATTACCCGGGGTGATGGTGCAATTGTTGGTGTTCAATGCCATTGTCAAAGGTAAGTGGGAGACCATTTAATGGGCACTTTCATGAACTGCAGGCTCCAAAATTTAAGCAGTGATGCCTTGAGGCCAACATGGGTCCCGTAGGCCTCAACAGAGGCAGGTCGAGAAGTCTTGCTGTTCTCCCTGAAGATCATGATGGGTTGGTACAGATTTCTTTCAATAAAATGAACCTTTACCCTTGCTATTGTGGATGTGCCTAAAATGTTTTTTGTGTAGATGATTGGTCCTATCAGAGGCCTTCATACTCCTATTTCCTGGGTGGTGTTATTAACATCAAGGCTTCTGTGAAGCAGTTCAATCTTGTGCCTCTGCGTGTGTTTTTGGACAGCTGTGTGGCCACTCAAGTACCTGATGTGAATTCTCTTCGGAGATATTCCTTCATTGAGAATCATAGGTAAGGTTATGGCCCTCGATGTGGTAGGACTGTTCAAGTTGCTTTTGGTATCCACTGTCTCAGAGTCATGCTGACGTTCATGAGTTGCTCTTTTTGATTGTATTGTCAAGTGCTTTGTGGATGCCAAAACTACAGCTTCCAGCTCCCGCTTCATGCCTCGGTCCCAGGTTGACAAGATCCAGTTCCAGCTGGAGGCATTTATGTTCCAGGAGAGCAACAGACCTTCTGTATGTACTATGAATATCATGAGTTAACTTGACTTTTCCTCCCATCTGCCCCGGTTTTTGTAACTTGTCACCCCTTGCAGATCTTCATAACGTGTCTTCTGAAGGCAAGCAGAAATCCTGTTCCTTTGCCAATGGGTACGTGGACATTTTATTTTTAAATGGACTTTTCTAATGTTGAAGGTTCCATGTCTGTTCGATTGCAGGTGGTTTGCTGCTGATAATGACCAAGTTTATGGTTGCTGTGACTGAACATGTGGTCCTGGTGAATTTGCTGCTTCTCCCAATGGAGGTTGGTAGCTTTTGCTCTTTCTAAGGCTGCTTTTGATTCAAGTGCTCTACCTTGGCTTTTTTCTTCTCTCTAGGCATTCAGTGGGAAGGCAAGGCCTCACTTGGTCCTTTAATGATTCAAGGGCAAAAGAGAGCTCAATAAAACTGCCAAATCAATCCTTGACTTTATCTGACTTTTCATTTTGGTTTAACTGCTTTTGGCTTAGAAAAAGAGCCTCATTCTGCCAATGTGGTAAAACTTGAGTCCTACTGTACTTCAAGTCCCATAAAGCATGCAACCACTGGGTTCCAGAAGTTAATAACTTCTCTTTTTCTGTGGGGAGTGTTAAATGAACCTTTTAAATGCCACTAGTGAAAGCTCAACGTTGTGCTTTTGAAACCATTTGTTTATTACAACTTGTTTAATAGAATAATTCCTGGTGAAAATTATAAATCATAAATAAATAAATCATAAATAAATCATAATTTATATAGGGTTTTCATATGTATTACTACTGTACACTAGGGCTGTGCTCAGAATATTGAAAGAACATCATGAACTCCTAACGATGCGAGTATCGACACAGCAGCTGTCTTACCGATTCTGTTGTGAATCTAGCCATTTATCACGTGATGTCAATTGGTGCCAATTTTAGCAACTTGAGATTCAAAATGAATGAGTATTTTGCCACTGTTGACAAAAGTAAAATAAGAAATTTGGGAGAATTTGGAGTTAAAACACTAACTGGCGCTCGACATGAGTCCTGCAATATGCAAGAACTGCAAAACGATGAATCTCTCTTGGCATGTGGTAAGACATTATCCTGACCAGTCCATTACCTGGTGGATCCGGTGATGGCACACACCTGTCATCTCAGAAGCAGCCAACATTGCATGACACTTGTCAACTCTCACCTATGTCTTGGCACTCTCAAAAGATAAGTGCATTAATGTGCTTATGTCAGGATTTACGGCCATACGTCATTGCCCAGAACAATGAAACACCCATATCACTAACAATAAGTGCTTTTGAAATAAAGGATCGGATATTCAGTAACCCAAGCTTTATCATTTGTTCATTCGTGTTAAATCTGTTTTTATTTGTTGAACATCAATTACATATTTAATCTTAGATCAAACCACTGAGGGAGGAAAAATGCTTTCCATTCTGTGACAGTTGAGCTAAAAAATAAATATGGCGTCTGAAAGTTACATTAGAAGGTCAGTTTGTGTGTAAATGTACATGTTTGACCAAAAACAAAGCTCTCTCTATTTTGCTGTAGATCATTAAACCATTACGCTGCCTCAGAAATGTCTGAAATCAGTTTCAACATGTAAAGTCAGAGAGGGGATAGTGCAGAGAGGGGATAAGTCAATGTCTACGCACACAATGTGCTGCTCTAGAGATCCTACATGACAGGTTTCAAGCCATCAAGTAGATCCTTTTCCCTATTTAGCACCTAAACTTTGGAACAGTCCTCCTAACATTGACCAGGAACATCAATGTTAGGCTGCATAGATTAGATCAGCCGGAACCGAGAACACTTCCCTTAAATCCTGATGTACTCGTTACATCATAAGAAGAATGGTTTCTATGCTAATATTAGTCTCTCCCAAGGTTTACTGCAGACTGTCTGATCTAGATCTGATGAAGGACCTACCTCTGGATGTGACGACAACTTAGTCCTGTGACCCTGTTGTGTCATCTTTTGCTTTAAAGACTTCAGTTCTAAGGAAAACTGATAATCCAATTCTGTTACACCTTATTAAACTTTGGTATGATGTACATAAGACCATCGGCAAGGAGATAAAACTGTCGCCAAAGTCACCTTTAAAACAAAACGAGCTTATCCAGATGACTGTAAATAACAAGATCCTGGAGACATGGCGTCACAGTGGAATCCATACTTTGGAGGATTGTTATGAGGATGGACTTTTCATGTCATTTGAACAATTACGGAGGAAATATAACCTGCCCAGCAATACTTTTTTTGTTACCTTCGGTTGCGATCCTTTTTGAGGAGCAATCTGAACGACAGCATGACTCTGCCCAAGCTCACGGAAATAGAGAAATTGATGCAAGAAAGTGGACAATGTAAGCTCATTTCCAAAATGTACTCTTTGCTGATATCGGAATGTCCTAAACCTGATTTGTATAGATATAAGGGGAAGTGGGAATCAGACTTAAATACCACAATTGAACAAATTTGGTCAGAATTGTGTAAAGGCAGTTTATCTGCCACTATTAATGCACGGTATAGACTTATCCACTATAATTTCCTCCATCAGTTATATTTAACTCCGAAAAAGATTCATAAGTTTAAACCTGAGCTATCCGATGCATGCTTCCGCTGTATAATAGAGGTGGGCACCTTCCTACACTGTACTTGGTCCTGTGTAAAAGTAAGAGATTTCTGGATTGACTTAAGTAGTGTCTTGACTAAGATTACACACATTTCATTACTGCTTGACCCAGAGTTTTGTCTGCTGGGAAACTTCATGAAAATTGATAAAATATTAAAAACAGGTTTCAGAAACATTTTCTAGAGATAGCTCTAGCAGCGGCTATAAAATGCATTGCTGTCACATGGAAGTCTGATTCCCCTCTATCTATAACTAGGTGGTATTTAGAAATGAATAGATGTGTGCCATTAGAAAAAATAACATAACCTTAGAAAGGGATACAATACTTTTATTAAAATCTGGCAACCCTATCTAGATCTTGTGGATAATGTGATATTAGAATGTGACTGACCTTGATGACACTGTTGTTACATTACATTTCTACTGTAGAATATTGGAGCACCTTTTTGGGGAGGGAGGGAGGGGGGTTTCTTTTTACTTTTATTTTTTATTCTATTTTTAGTGTACTTGTTTTTATTTTTGTGAACTGAAAAGCTGAAAATAAAGCATTAAAAAAAAAAAGACTTCAGTTCTGGATGCTGGATTCTGATTGGCTGTTAATTTCATCATCTGAAAAAATTTAGCATTACGTTATCTTTGGTGTGAACGGAGCCTCAAGTGCTGCTTTTATCTGCCAATGAAAAGATAAAAATATATCTCTTCTCAATGAGTTTTGGTAAAAACGGCATTAAAAAAAAAACACCAACAGTGAAATAGATTGTAAATTTTAATAAAACAAAATCAGACAGTTTTCAATTAATTAAATGAAGAAAATGAAACCTTGATTACTCAGATAACAGTTAGAATTTCCTAAGCCACAGGACGCAGTGGCCAGTCGTTTCACTGCAGAGAGACGCCTTTCCCAGCCACAGCACAGAGGATCATAGTTTATAAAAGGATTGACATGCAGCACACTACATTAAATCAATGATTCTCATGCCATTGGTACATATATAAAATATCGAAGCTATGATTCACTCTGTTGAAGATGGGCAAGTTAATACTAAAGCAATAACTTGGACCTGGATCCCATCATTACCATTAGAAAACTATCCTGGACAACTGGACTCCTAAAGAGGTGGGAGGGGAAGAAAAAACCCCAAAACAAATTTAGACAGCACTTAAAACTAGTCTTGGGACTTGGATCTGGAGCGGGATCGGGATTTGGAGCGCGAGCCAGACTTTGAGCGGGAGCGTGAATGCCTGTCTGGAGACTTCCCAGCCTGAGGTGTTGGAGAGCGGGAAGCAGACTTGGACTTGGGACGCCCCCCATCGCCATTCTCCACAGGAGAAGCAGATCTGCTCCGGGACTTCTTGCTGACGGACCTCTCCTGGGACCGCCCGCGATCTGACTTCACTTTAGAAGTGCTCTTAGACCGGGACTTGCGCTCGTCTGAGCGGGAGCGAGACTTGCGACTGGTTGACCGACTGCGGGATTTGTGTGAGTGGGACCGAGAACGAGATTTACGGTTGCGCGAGCGAGACTTGCTCGGCGGAGACTTGGAGCGAGACTTGTGTCCTGACTTGGAGCGGGACCTGGAACGGGAGCGGCGTCGGCGAGAGCGAGACCTACAAAAGACAATCAGAGGCTGAAGGGAAAGGAAAAACAAACATTCACATTCAAATAAATTTTTATTATTTATTCCTACCTTGAGCGAGATCTTGAGTTGCTCCGAGAACGGCTGCTACGCCGACTCCTACTACGAGAACGACGCCGACTACGAGACCTGGGGGAAAAAGAAAAGTATAGTTTGTTAACATATTCCTATCCCAACATTATATGCAGAGTCAACTGTAAGTGTAAATACTGCAGCTCTTATCTTAGCAGCATTCAGTATGAGGCAGGACTGTTTGTCCAGTGAATATAAGATGGGAGAGAAAAAAAAACATTAAAAAAAAGGAAGTCGTCGTATTAAACCTGTGTGTATATTAGACCTGTGTTAATGTGAATCAAACAAAAGAGAAACAGATGATCACTCACTGCTCTTGACCATAAATGTGCTCTGGTGAGGACTTAAACATGGCGGACAGTGTGCAGCTCATTCAGGGGTGGAGCTATGCTAATAGGGACAATGTGGGCAGGGCCTATTCTACTGTGACATCACAATGCTTACATTACTGAATGTCTCATTTAGAGACACTTTCTGATTAATGGGGAACATTACAAACGGACGTCCGTGCAAAAGCGATACTGTGGCCGGCGGTCAGTAACGGAGTGGCTGTCCGGAGAGTCGGGACTTTTCCCGGTGGGCCGGTAGTGTTTCGAGGCCGCAAGGACCGGTCTGATAGTTATACTTTGCAAGTTCTTAGCAAAAACATCCGGCCTGTACACAATAGTCTCTGCAACGGTGATAGAATGAAGCGCGCATCCGAATGAAGATGGTGCACAAGCCACAAAAACCCATGCAACTGATAGCAGCGAAAAAGAGCGCTCCGCTTGATTAAAAAAAAACAACAGATTTTAGTGCTAGATCTCTTATTTAATAGCGAAATAAATAACTGATTTGCTATTTACTGGAGATGTTTTATTTATTTCATATTAGCTGTACAACTTTCACCACAACTTTCATAGATAGCATACATAATTTGCAAGCTGCTAAAATAAAGCATACAAAGCATCAGCTAAAATTATCTATAGGCTATATGATTATAATTAGAGCATGAGCATGTTTGTCAGTGATTTATTTATATTAGGTTTTTACAGCATTTAAATAGCACAGACCTACGCAAAGGAGGTGCATGTGAAACGCCCTGTAAGAAACACTTTCCTTTTCAGGAAAAGTATCGAAATCGCGATTCTTGACTTGGTATCGAAACAATAATTTTGGTATCGTGACAACACTAGTAACTAGGGCTGCACGTTTTCAAGTTTTTCATTAACCGTTAACCGCGGCCCTTACCGGTTAATACTCGGTTAACCATGTGCGCGCCGCAACCTAGAGATACAGAGTTAATTTTTAACACCTTTTTAATAACTGGTTGCACCCCATTTGAAACGAAATTAATTTATAGAAATAAAACACAGTGGTAAGTACAGAGCAGTTAAAGTAGGTGCGTTTCCATCACCCTTCAAAATGAAATTGCCAATTGAAAATAAGCACATTAACTCCGTGTCCGCAAATAATAATAATAATCATCATTATTGTAACATTTTATTAGGCTGCATATTATGTAGAAGACGCCTTTATCCAAAAAAAGGAACAAAGCACAAATAAACACAATATTTTTGACGCATACCCAGTGTGTGTGAAGCGCGCATTGATGGCTGCGAGACGCCCATGTGAACACTTGCAGTTCTTTCAGTGGAAACAAACAACTTAAAATACTCTTTCATTTCTGGTCATACAGAAAATAATAATGCATTATTCGCGAATACATTTATTTGCGTAAACTCACAATAACAAGAAAACGTTGTTCTTTAACATTCAGGCGCGCTTCATGATCTCCGCGAACTGAAGCGCGAGAACTGAAACAGCCACCGCATTCGGATTTGTTCGTTTTAAATTGGACATGTAAAGCTTTAGTCTACAGGGGTTATATCCTTTGTAGGCTAAAGCTTTAAATGTCCAATTTAAAACGAACAAATTCTAATCGAAGGCCAATATCTTCTGACTATGTAATTGTAGCTAATTAATTTCTCTCTAAATGTGCATCCGGAGATGGAGAATTGTTTTTAGCCGAAAATGATTTAGAAAACAATAGTTTATTAATAAATAATTAATGCCTCGTTATTTTATATTATTTTATTATCAGACACATATAAATCACTTATAAATCCCATTTCTGCGGCTGTGCACGGTTACGGCTCTTCTCATTTAGCATTGCGGGTGAAAATATCATTTCCAGGTTCTAATTTGGCCTCAGAAAACCAGTAAAATCTTTTTTTTCATATTAATTTGTCAAATATTTTAAATGTTTAAGGGGCAAATTCGTCGATATATATATATATATAGCCTATATATTTTTGCGCAGCATTTGGTGTATAAGCCTACAGTTCAAATTAACATTTTGGTGTTCAACTTTGCTATTTACAAAATGCAACAACCGTTCATTTTTCATTTTGCAATTAGGCCAACGGATTAAATAAGGGGAAACGAATGAACACACGAGGCAGAGTTCTTCATAAAAGATACAAGGAATAGCCTACTGGACAAAACCGCCACAATCAAGACCGCAGAGCAGAAATGAGGGACAAACACAGAAACTCTGTGACTTTCCCTGCCATTAATGCTTGGATGACACACCACGTCTCCTCACACAAATAGTGCGGTGGCTGTGATATACCAACGTCCGGTGCCATCATTTTTGGAATGGCTTATCGCGAAAGGAAAAAAAATGTTTTAGTCGCATAACACCGTTAATAGAAACGCTGTCATTTCGCAATATTTTTTTTATCGACAATCAGAAAAAAAAAAACGCAAAAGTTTTGTGCAAATATGTATTGACGCTTAACCGAGCAAAAAGGCTTCACTCGGTTATGGAATTTTAAACGGTTAATCGGTTAACCGGTTAACCATGGACACCCCTACTAGTAACAATATATCGTGTCCATATACAAAAATGCAACAATATGCATCATGGACCAAAAAAAAAATAAAAAAAAAAAAATCACATTTTCAGAGTTTTAATGTCAGTACTACATTAAACTACTGTATTTAAATATTAAAACTGTAATTTTAAAACTGTATTCAAATAAGTTGAATATAAATGTATAATAATGCAATGGGGGAATATCTGTGGGTCCTAATAATGCCAAATGCCAAAGTTACCAGTAAAAGTCACCTACAATATTTTAACTATATCTAGTCATTGAAGGAGGCCAAGCATATTATTCTAAAATAATCCTATTTTCAGCTTCAGAATCATGAATATTATTCTTCTGATGTCTCTATTGTCCTGTCCTTTGGGTTTCCAGCACAAAGACCAAGCCTATTCATTTACACCCACAACATTTAGCATTTTAAATTCAACAGTACATTTTTTGTTAATCTTTTATCATATGTCTTGGATCACAATATGGTATCGTAGGGCTATCAAATGATTAATCACATCCAAAATAAAAGGTTGTGTTTACATAATATATGTGGGTGCACTATGTATAATTATTATATATATATACATCTCTATATACATACACACACGCTTGTATATACTGCATATAGATATTATATATAAATATATTTTTTTTTTCTTAAATATACATGCATGTGTGTATATTTATATCTATAAAATAATTATACACAGTGCACCCACATGTATTATGTAAACACAAACTTTTATTTTGGATTCGATTAATCGCGATTAATCGTCTGACAGCCCTATGGTATCGTGAGTTAAACATAGTATCGTTAGATGAGGGAGGGGATCGTTACATCCCAGGTACACAGCAAGATGATTCCCCAATCCAAGCAAAGCTTTAAAGTGTCTTAATTATTAAAATCAAATAATTGGTGGTTAAAATTAATTTGTTAAAAATAAATAAGCGCTCACCGAGAGCGGCTCCCAGAGTACGAGCGCCGACGTCGCGGCTTGTCTTCAACCAGACGAATCTTCCTGCCGTTGATGTCGGTTCCATCCAGTTTGTCCAGCGCTCTCTGCATGTCGGAGATGGAGCGAAACTCGATGACTCCCTCGTTAGCGCGCTCCTTGTGTGCGTCTGCATAGGTCACCTCACCTGCCTGGCGCATGAAGTCCTACAAAGGCAACACAACCTTCACCTCTGTGCACAACATAGTCGAGTATGTGCTTTGCAATCACAAGCTATGTATATCATTAGAGAGTAGGGATGGGAATCGAAAACCGGTTCCACTCAAGAACCAGTTCTAAGTTTTACAATCCATCAATATTGTATGCCCGACATTAACGAGTCCTCTTATCGATGCTCGTGCTCCGAGTCAACCATAGTATGTAGGCTACAGACCGTGAACTCACAACTGTCCCTTTTGTATTTTTTCACAACTGTCCCAAGAGAATTTTTGTACCGCCAAAGCCTTATTTGATCGGTGAGTAAAATTGTCTCTCTCTGTAGTGATGAACCACTGCGCTTGTGACAGTGTGCATGTTAAACTGAACGAGCAGGGAGAGAGAGAGCCCCAGTCGTGCACCCTCTCTCAGGCTTCACCATCTCAAAACTAAGCACCGTCTTGCTCTTTCTCTCTCCCTCGCACATATTAATCAAAATAATCGACACGATGGTAAGGTCAGGAGACTAAAGTTTCATGTGGAGCATTCGGAGAACTGTTTTTCCTGAATTACCGCTGGCTGTGAATTGTGCTAAAATAGGCCTACGTTGCCTTATCTTCTCTGAAAAGCGTTCCGCACATTCAGCTGACATAAACCACACTTCAAATAAACAGAAAAAAATGATCCAGTGATGAAATGTTTTCTGTGATGACATCTTGTGGGATGTCCCAACCGCCGGGATAATCACAACGCGCACACGTCCGATGATGACACTTTCAATTCGCGAACTCATGACTCATTTGAACCGACTCGTTTTAATGAATGGTTAAAACAACTGAACTGATCTTCCAACACTGAACTCACGGGACTTATAATCGGTGAATAACTAATTGTAACACTTTTCAATAAGGTTCCATTTATTACATAAATTACATAAACAGTACAGTTTGCTTAGTCAAGTGTAAGGTTTAAAACAAATAAACCACTTGTTTTTTCCCTCCAAAAATCATATGACTACTTTTTCCCACACAGTGGTATCAGGAATCGATAAGAGAATTGTTAAAGAATCGGATCGACAATTCCCATCCCTATTAGAGAGGAAATTTTTTTTTCTATTCTGCCCATAAACTAAAAAAAAAAAAAGAACGTAGTGTTTCTGAAGAGTTCATGTTTGAAGCCCAAATTGGGCGGAGCCAGTGTCGCCACCTTGGCAGCGCGTCACTCCCGGATAAACGAAAATGTGCAGCGAGGCAGGTTAGCGGTGATGACGAGCCACTAACAGAGAACAGACAAACGACTAGAAGTAAGATTAACGGCAATCCACCTGTCAATCAAGCGGCCACCCCCTTAATTATGCAGACCTTTAAGGCTGAATATAATTTAAACGGATGAGTTGTCATAAAAGGCAAAATTAGGTATATAGAACAAAACCACTTTGTATCAGATACATCAGGCTGTACTTTTTTTTTTTTTTACATGGGGGTCTATGGGAATAACTCGATGAATTGCAGAGTCTGGAAGGTTGCTGCTTGATTTTTTTTAACTAAAATAGGGTGAGGTCACCATCTTGGAGCTTTAACTCTCACATGCAACTTTCGTTTAATTCATACTCGACATCGGAGGGCACCCTTGCACAGAAGCTTCACAAATGACTCACAGGAATAATAAAACTTGTGACATTCTAGGGAAATCCCTAATATGGACAAAGACAAAATAAAATGCACACAGACATTTTAACGGATTAAAAATTAACTAAATTAAACACCATGCGACAGAACAGATTTTATCTGGTTTCTTCAATTGATGTCGGGTATTTCATAAGGATAATATATATTTATAATGCAATGCCAATTGACATTAGCCTGACTACGTCAGACTTCCTACGTCTGAGATAGCAGCCTATCTTTCAGTTTCCCACCGGTCTGAAAACAGCCGGCCAATCAACGAACAGAGGGCGGGCTGAGAGCTGTGACGTAGGCGTCAAGCGCCGAGTTTCACATTGCAGGTTAAAGAAATCGAAAACCGAAACGACCACAGAAATGGGAAACAAGACACAGGATGCAATTCGCTCTGTTATGGTGAACATTCCGGGGTTTTGATTGATTATGAAGTTATTTCAAAAACTGGTTGCCATTAAGTGTTGATCCCTTTGTATGCAATGGTGTGAGAATTGGAAAAAATGCAAACAGGAATGCGGTCCACATTAATGCGTGTACATCACTAGCGTTACCTTAAGGTCTTGCCAACTGCAGCGGCTGGAGAGATTCTCCACAATGAGCCGGTGCTCGGTGCGAACAGGAGGACCATACTTGTCCCTACCGGTGCGGCTCCTGCTGCTGTAACCACCTTCAGAAGAACAGGGGAGAGGACAAAAAGAAATCCTGTTATGACAGAGAAAACAAGGAAAGATGGACGCTACTGAATAAACATTAGAACCTACGAGAGGATACAAGTCTTATTTGCCCTCTGTTGCTTATTGCCAACCTGTTCAGACTCAAGAGAAGTTTGTTGCCTCCCAGAAAAGGCTTTACTATGTGGATAAGAGAGAAACTGATAAGACTGACAACAAGACAATCGTTCCCAGGTCGTTCAGGGCAAAACTGATATTTTGATAGGCAGCATTACATTTAAATGTGTAATATTTAGGCTCACAAGGCCTCGCATGAACAGCTTGCCCATACAATGTCTCCATTTTAGGTATTTCTAGTACATTTGGCTAGAGGCTTTCCATATGGACAACATAGCAATAACTAATGGCATTCCTCACCATCACCCCTGGTCTATTGGCAAAAGGCTGCTGTCATCTTGGCTTCCGGTTAGGTCAGCCAAAGCATCAAGGGGCAAAGGTCACACACACATTGTAAGGTGAAGAGGCCAAGGCCAAACCGGTCAGGTAGTCATCTTAGCCACAACGACACTTGGACTCAGCCTCAGCCCCCACTGGACTCTTTCAAATTGAAACATCAAGGACTTTGTTATTGTGGAAATCAAATTAAACTTTAACATGGACGTTGATGGTTACTTCCCACTGGGCTAGAAGCTTAAAAGGCAAGAAGAAAGAATAAATGGTATATGGGGAAAAAACACCATTGTATGGGCTATGTGCACAACTGTAGTTTCGAACTTCCGCTTTTGTCAGAAGTTGGCGTATCAGTTTCCGGTCTACGACTGGTCACCCGCATCCACTAATAAACAAACAAGATGAGTGCTGCTGTTGTACGAAAAAAAAGAGTTCTTAAACACATCTAAGTTTCTCAGAACTGTAGTGGATCTAACGTCCGTTTCACACCCGTTTGCAGTGTTGCGGTGCAGGATCGTGCTGTTAGTGCGGTCACATATTATGAAGCGTTTGCACAGTGAATAACTAATCCGCGGCTGTACAACAAACACATACTTAATATTTTTATTATTTTTTGCGCGTCGATCAAAATGTCTATTTTGTGCAGCCACTGCTCACGAAGGTTGGTGTTTATCAGGAAGCAGTAGAAGCTCAAATGGCTGTTAGCGACTTGAAGCAGAGCAAGTGCCAGTCTCCTAACGCACCATGTAAACAGGTTAGGGCTTTCACTTTTCACTGGTGTGGCACATATAACAGCAGCACAGCGATCGTTTCCACACCGAATCTATTTCTGCTGTGCTGCAAACGCTGATGGTCAAAATGATAAAGATTGACCTGAAAATGTAGTAATTTCACCATAAATGCGTTTAATTAAATAAAATGAAGTAATCTTACCATAAATGCACATTTAATCAAGGAAAACTACAATTTACTTCAACCAGGCGACAGAATGAACTCGTCTCGAATCTCGATCGTGGAGGTGGAAAAATACGTTTTGTGACATGCAAGATCTATTGTTTTAAAATTAAGATGCAAAAGAAAAGGCAAGTCGGCTGCTTTTGTCAATTTCAAGTTTTAATTTAAATTATTTGCGATTTTAATATAGGAAATATTTGACTGAGCAACTTGTAATGCATGGAGTAATAGCCCTAACTTACATTGTTTAGATTGTGTTTAAACGTGCATACAAAGAATCGCAATGCTGACACAACTTTTTGTTTTTAAAAATAAGTTGCAACATAACTTCTGGACTTTAAATAAAAATATTAAGTATGTGTTTGTTGTACAGCGGCGGATCAGTTATTTACTGTGTAAAACGCTTCAATATGTGAACGCACTTACAGCACGATCCTGGACCGCAACACACACTGCAAACGGGTGTGAAACGGACGTTAGATCCACTACAGTTCTGAGAAACTTAGATGTGTTTAAGAACTCTTTTTTTCGTACAACAGCAGCACTCATCTTGTTTGTTTATTAGTGGATGCTGGTGACCAGTCGTAGACCGGAAACTGATACGCCAACTTCTGACAAAAGCGGAAGTTCGAAACTACGGTTGTGCACATAGTCTATAAAGCAGTGCCTCTCAAGCCTGTCCCACAGCACATTTAGGATGCATCCCTGACCAAACACACCAGTTTCCAGCTCCTTAGTACAGCCCACTAGGCTTGAACTGGGCGTGTACGGGGAGGGGGGCATGCGAAACATGCTGTGCGTGTGTGTGTGTGTGTTTGGGGGGGGGGCAACTCAAGATTAGGCTTGAGAAGCACTGGTGTAAAACACCCACTAACAAAATAGTGCAACAGGTTTCATATAACAAGTCTGAACTAGGGGTGTAATGATACCGTCATGTCACGATTCGATACATATCACAATACGATATTGCAATATTACGTTTGGTATTTGGGTGTGTAAATTAATAGGCTTGAACTTGATGCCTAATGATACCATCATGTCACGATACGATATTGCAATACTACATTTGGTATTTGGGTGTGTAAATTAATAGGCTTAAACTTGGTGCCTATTTAAGATGAATATGGTTGCACTCTTTCACTGGCTAGACAATTTATAAAAAAAGTAAGGCACTTTTACTGCCAACAGAAGAAATTTGGCATTATCAGGACCCACATATCCCCGTATAGCATTATTATACATTATATATAGTAGTTTAATGTAGTACTGACACTAAAACTCTGAAAGCTTTAATTTCTCACGCAGTAATTTTTATTTTTGGGTGAACTATTCATAATATATAGTCACTATCCACGATAAAGGTTGCATTTTCGTATTGCGATATATTGTGAGACGGTATATTGTTACACCCCTAATTTGAATAATTCAATCAAAGTACAGTCTTTGAGAAAGTACTGGCAATGACTTGCCCTGATGTAAAAGGGCTAAAGGCTTAATGTTCACAGATGACATTTCATCAACATTACAACAACATCATAATGAGAACATAAGGAATCCAGAAAGCTGTGTGAAGCTGGTTTGGGTTTCTTTACTAAACATTAGGGCTGGGTGGTATTTCAAGTTTGTACTATATATTAATATGTTTTTTTTATAAACGATATAGGATGAGGTTAATATTGATATACAGTAGTAAAAAGGACACCAAGCGAGCTGCTGCGGGGAAAGTAAATCACATATTTGTCCGAGACATGTTTTATATCAAAGGTTTCAAAATATCTTGTAGTATATAGTTAACATGTGTATAGTTGAACACTGCTTGCCCCGTCAGACGGTCTGCGGAGTCGCCGCTATTCACCAGACTTCAGTGAGCGCCACCACAGACTAACTATGACTAGGGATGTCAAGATACCACAAACAGTAGTCGATACCACCAAGACTACACAATACTCGACACCATGGTAAAACAAAACACAAAAAACTAAAAAAAACTAAACAAACAAACTCATAATTAAACTTAATTAATAACACTTGAAATATTGGTCTGAGTTGAAATATTTTATTAGGCCTTTAAACGCAAATCTTCCACGGAGGGCAGTTGCAGCAAGAAAAGCTCAAACTAGACGAACATTTAAGAGATACGGTATAGTCATACCACTTATTACACGGCAAATCGCATCAAAATATTTATTCGAGTGAGTTAATACTTCATTAGCTCACCAAACAATACTTTATTAGCTGACCAAACGCAAAACTTCCATGAAGAGAAGCCATTCCAAGAGAGCGTATAGCGCTGCCGATTTCAGTGACCCGGACGAGGCTGTGTTCGTGTTCTCTGTGAATAACTCACTGCTGGATGGCATTATCGACCAATCAGAATCAAGTATTCCACAGAGCCGTGTAATAATTAACAGTTAACATTTGGTCTGTGCTTTGTTTTTATTTAGTTTAATTTTTAATTTAGTGATTCTAACTTCTGCTTTAAAACACTTTTAATTGTAATATTCCAATAGAATGTAATGTGACTTTAGCCTTTTTTTGCTCATATAGCATAGTCTAGATAGTTACATTCACTATACTTGTTTTCATGGCCTTCAATGATGAAACATTAGCCTCGTTTCCACTGCCGGGCCAGGGCCGGGCCGTGCGTGCCAGGGCCAGTCGCGTTTCCACTGTCACTTCCGGGGCTTGATCGGGGCTTCCTCAGGGCCAACGGCCAGGATTTCTGGCCCGTCGAATACCTTGGGCCAGAGGGGGCCAGCTCGGGCTAGAGGCGTGTTCAAGGTAAAAGGCGGAGTTTATCGGTGTTAAGGAACGTTATGATCTGAAGCAAGATGCATATAGGGGTGTCCATGTTTAACCGATTAACCGTTTAAAATTGCATAACATTTTAATTTGAACTGTAGGCCTATGCCAAATGCTGCGCAACAATATATAGGCTATATATAGCTATACATATCGACGAATTTTCAGATATTTGTTTGATTTTTTTGCCCCTTAAACATTTAAAATATTTGACAAATTAATATGAAAAAAATATATATTTTACTGGTTTTCTGAGGCCAAATTAGAACCTGGAAATGATATTTTCCCCGCAGTGCTGAATGAGAAGAGCCGTAACCACAGCCTACAGAAAGGGGATTTATGGGTGATTTATAGGCTATAATAAATGTGTCTGATAATAAAATAATATAAAATAACGAGGCATTAATTGTTTATTAATAAACTATTGTTTTCTAAATGATTTTCGGCTAAAAACATATCTCCATCTCCGGATGCACATTTAGAGAGAAATTAAGCTACATAAACATAGAAGATATTGGCTTTCGATTCGAATTTGTTCGTTTTAAATTGGACATTTAAAGCTTTAATCTACAAAGGATTTAACCCCTGTAGACTAAAGCTTTAAATGTCCAATTTAAAACGAACAAATTCGAATGCGGTGGCTGTTTCAGGTCTCGCGCTTCAGTTCACGGAGATCATGAAGCGCGCCTTGATTAATTGTTAAAGCACAACGTTTTCTTGTTATAAATAAATGTATTTGCGAATAATGCTCTGTTCCTTTTTTGGATAAAGACGTCTTCTACATATGCAGCCTAATAAAATGTTACAATAATGATGATGATGGTTATTATTATTATTATTATTTGCAGACACGGAGTTTTTGTGAAATGGACGTTTTGCTTATTTTCATTTGGCAATTTCAGTTTGAAGGGTGATGGAAATATGGGCTTTAACTGCTCCGTACTTGCTGCGTTTTATTTCTATAAATTAATTTCGTTTCAAATGGGGTCCAATCAGTTATTAAAGGTGTTAAAAATTTACTCTGTATCTCGAGGTTGCGGCGCGCACACTATGAACCGAGTATTAACCGATGGGCCTCGGTTAACGATTAATGAATAACTTGAAAACGTGCCCGCAGCCCTACTTGTTATATCGCGCAAAAAATCGCTGCTTGAAATGGAGAATCGCCTGTACTGGTCTCGGGACACTATTGCAGCCACTACGGCAGTTGAGTTAATATACATGCTATCTTCCTAATTTAAAAAATAAATTAATTCATAATACCCGCTAAAATGGGTTGGGTTTTATGACGTTTGATCCTGAAAGGCGTGTTAGGGGTGGGGTCTGGGGCAGCGCTGTGGGGCTACTGGCCCGGCAGTGGAAACGCAAGCCCGGTGCTTGAGGCCCGAGGCCACTAGCTCGGCCCGGCTCGCTGTTAGCTCTGGCCCAGCCCTAGCCCGGCAGTGGAAACGCGGCTATTGCTCTACATTGTTTTTAGATCAACACTGGGCAGGATGTGAAAATGTGAGGAATTTTTTTTTAGCTGTATAGCCCAGCCCCCAACTAAAAATGTAAAGAAACGAGGGGAAAGAAAACATCTTAGCTTAATAATAGCATTTTCAGCAGCAAAAGTTAATATCGACAGGATGATGTTCAATATAAATGCTAATACAGAAATTAATAATTGCTAATTAAATTAACTTCAAGAAGGAAAATAATCACATGCAAGCAGTATAAAACTGGGTAGCAAGTTACCTGATATATTCTTGCTTAAAGGTGAACTCCGGCGCAAAATGAACCTTTAGTCTATTTACACATTGTTACCTAGTCAACCGTTATCTGAGATTTGTTTTCATGATTTCCGAATGTAAATAGTTTTATCTCTATAAACAGTTTAGCCTATAACGCTAGTATATGGGGCATAGAGTAAAGACAAATAAAAATCGCTTGTTATTAACACTAACAAGGCTCAAAATAGCCCCACAGTAACACGGTAGCATAATAAGGGTCCCTACATTCAAACCGAAGCATTGATAACTTTGTCAGTGTCCATACAGTTTAATAAGAAGATATTTTATACAATCAGTCAACTTCGCGAATACAGGAAGAAGCCATCTTAGAAAAATAGTCTCTACCAGTCAATATACAAAAGCCGATCCAAGTGCGCTGGTGAGATGTGAATAAGGTTACATGTACATATTGAAGAGAAGAAAATGGTTCGTGTTTGTGTTCACGGACCATATGAGATTCTGCACAGTTCAGTGCACTTGGATTGGCGTTCGTAGATCGACTGGTAGAGACTATTTTTTCAAAGATGGCTTCTTCCTGTATTCGCAAAGTTGACTGTGTATAAAATATCTTTTAATTAAACTGTATGGACACTGACAAAGTTCTCAATGCTTCGGTTTGAATGTAGGGACTCTTATTATGCTACCGTGTTTGTGTGGGGCTATTTTGAGCCTTGTTAGTGGTAATAACAAGCGATTTTTATTTGTCATTACTCTATGCCCCATATACTAGCGTTATAAGCTAAACTGTTTTAATAGATACAACTATTTACATTTGGCAATCATGAAAACAAATCTCAGATAACGGTTGACTAGGTAACAATGTGTAATTAGACCAAAGGTTCATTTCGCGCCAGAGTTCTCCTTTAATGCTAACACTTAAAATCCTCTTAGAAGCATCTGGTTTCCAGACATTTAAAACCAGGTACTCTCTGCAATAAGACAACTTGTGTTACTGTACTTACTGCTGCGTCCTCCTCCTCCTCCTCCTCCTCCTCCACCACTGCCGCCACCATAATAACCCCCGCCGCCACCTCGTCCACCTCCTCCGCCGCCGTCGCCTCCGTAGCTGTCGCGGTCTCGGCGAGGACCTCTGGCGTGCTCCACCATGACCCGCTCTCCACACAACTCTTTACCGTTCAGCTCGTAGACGGCATCATCTGCATCACGGGTGTCTTCAAACTCAACAAAGCCATACCTATGAAGACAGATCTGATTAGGCTAAAAAGCAATGTAGGTTACAGTGGTTAAACCTATGGCTTTTCACAACCCAGAGTTATTGTTCTAAACTCTGCTTTTAAGCCAGGGGTAAAGGAGTCTTACAATTGTAATTTAGAAACTGGGTTAGCACTGGTTTTTACATGGGGTAATGAATAGCACTGCTTCACCCCGCATTATCTTGACAAACGTGCAGTGTGAAAAAGCCCTATTCGCACGGGATTAGTATTATTTCGTGCGTCACATTCGCACGGGATAAGCGAAGCCTGTGATTTTACTCGAATTTACTGACTTATCTACCGGATATGATGTCATTAGGCTATAGCTTTGAAATGTCTCTCTGCAAATTCTCTTTCTGCAAATTGTATAGTTGTACTAGCGATATGACCCCGCACCCACAATACTATAAAAAAAAAACTCCAACTCAGCCTCTATTTTTCGCGAAAGATGGATAAAAAGGCGCAGATGAAACAAAAACCTTGAAAAAATGATATACGATCCGGCCAAATCACAGAGATGTCGATTCGCACGGGACTTATCACAGGATCTCGGTGTTCGGCGAAATAAAGTAGGTAATTTGCGGGGGAATTTTTACTTTACAAATTACAGACATGGCCAATTCGCACGGGATTAAGATCACAGACAAACTCCGCAATATTACAAATTACTACAGGTCACCAGATAATACTAATCCTGTGCGAATAGGGCTAAAGACAAAGTGCAATCGACTAGCGACAGCCAGTCACGTGCCTCATTCACTCATTCTTAGCTTTATAGTCTGAAAAGTCCATTTATTATAAACTTTGTAGTAGAACCTGTTGTGAAAAGTTTTGTTATGAACTTTAAAAGGGGAACTATGCAGGAATCCCGTTTTTTTGTCAAATGGCAACCCCTAGAGTCGATGTGGAGTACTTGGGGGTGGGGGGGAATTCTGTATTCTCTTATTTTGTATTCTGTATTCTCAGAATATAATCCTCTATTGTATTCTGAGAAACGTATAGTGACAGTTATGTCTTAATTTGTGTCAGGAGTTATGCAATTAAAAAAATGAGTCGATTCGTTTAACATGAATTATGAGCGTCAGCCGTTCTCAATCAGAAAAAAACTCCTGTGGTGACATGACAGCGCTTGACAAAACAACGTCCCTCAGGGCTTTTAGCTCAACAACAATGTGCAAATTTGGAGAAATATTAAAAGATTATCGTAGGTTTACATCATATTGCTATAGACAAGAATAATATTTATTGAATTTATACCCAAATACGTCTCTGTAATCTTTATGAGCGCTGAATACTCTGATGTGCTGTGTTTAAAACTACATTAAACTACTGTGGAACAGACGAAGAAGTGCAATAATCATGTGACATTCCAGAACTGCCTGACAAAGCCAACAGAGATCGCTGTAACATGCATTTACATTTTACATTTATCAGAGCACGTCTATGGAGAGCCTTGGCACTTCCTGTTAGCCCCATTGTGCGTCATCTTGGTTGCAGTTCCATAAGAATTCCACTGGAGGTGATCACGGGAGAGTGGAGAATGAATGGGAGTCTATGGAGCTTAACGGCTAAATGTGTCTCTTTCTCCTGCTTGTCGTTGAATCAACATAGATTTTATTGTTGATACCGCAAGTTCAATATAGATTATAGGCCAAAAGTCGAATGAACGAGTACTTATGCCTTTTTGATTTCTTACAGGTTAGGCTGTTGGTGGCCGGAACACGCTAGCATTCTGCTATTGTGTGACGTCATCACATTTTTGAATGGATTTTTAGAACAGATAAGTGAACTTAAAAATGCAATTTTCAGCTGAGTGTATTATCTTAGCCCTCCCTTTTAAATGCAACTTTCAAATTACTTGACAAAAGATTACATCCTGAAAAAAATGGATTTCTGGGGGTGAAACCCCATAGACTCCCATTCATTCTGCACTCGACCGCAAGCTCCCCCGCATGGACAGAAACGTGTTACTGCAGCCAGTCCAGAAACCGTAAGGAACCAGCCAGTGCCAATTCTCTTCAATTAGACATTCTCTGCATTTATTCATTTAGCTGACGCTTTTATCCAAAGCGACTTAAAATTGATATACGTCACAGGTCGCACACCTCTGGAGCAACTAAGGGTTAAGGGTCTTGCTCAGGGAAACATTGGTCTCTCCCACACCAAAGGCATGCGTCTTATCCACTGCATCATCACCAACCACAGTGGGTGGTTTTCAAACCATCTTTACATGCAGATAAAGATGTTTTGAAGACAATAAACATCATTGCAATGATATTTGATAAATCAATATTACCCAGCTCTTCGAGCCTTATCAGGAATTTTCATAATAATAGCTAATTAGCATAATGTAATGCTAATTGCTATAGACTATCATTGTGCAGAATACTATAAAATAATATATTTTGTGTCTTTTTTATCTGAAGCCAAATTAGATCACAGAGGGTTATTTAAAACACTCGACTTGCATTAAAAAGTTTGGAGCACAAACAAGGTTTTAATCTCATAAATTGTTGTGTATTGATGGTGTGCTAAACTAACATGCTAGGTGTACCTGCCACCCATCTGTTATTTTTTAAAATTAGAGGTATTATTGGGATCATATATTTATATATATATATATATATATATATATATATATTGTGTAAGTATATTTCTCAATGCAATTATATAAATCAACCAATCACATGGCAGTTGCTTCAATGCATTTAAGGGTGTGGTCCTGGTCAAGACAATCTTCTGAACTCCAAACTGAACGTCAGAATGGGAAAGAAAGGCAATTTAAGCAATTTTGAGCGTGGCATGGTTGGTGCCAGACGGGCTGGTCTGAGTATTTCACAATCGGCTCAGTTACTGGGATTTTCACGCACAATCATTTCTAGGGTTTGCACAGAATGGTGTGAAAAGGGAAAAACATCCAGTATGCAGCAGTCCTGTGGGTGAAAATTAGGGCCGTGCAATAAATGGAAATCCTAATAAAATCGCAATTTTTAAACCGCTTCATAGCACGATTTTTTCTGTGCTCCTGGCTCCAACCTCCCAGTATGCCACCTGAACCAATCAGAATATAACTAAATATAACTTTGACTAAAAATATAACTACGGGCTAGGTTCACGAGAGGTCGGCTAATGAGTGTTAAAGTAAAAAACAAAACAAAAACGCAGTAATTTCATTAATTTACCAGCGAACGCACTTCGGAAACAGTGAAAATGAATGGGGTTCAATGTTGAAACTATCACTGTTTGGAACAATTGGCTGCTCTACGACACGCGTTACTTCCCCATTCCAAAGTTCCTGTGGCGGTCTAGGGGAGTGTCGCAACTTTTTCAACAGCTCTGGCCATTGTTATGAAGCGCTCAACATACACATCTGTTATTAGCCAATGCGTTTACGTAGTGTTCATCCAATCATCACACCACAAATATGCAGAAAATGACATTATCCCAGGGTTTAGGAATGCATAGAGTGAAACGCCAGCTAATGAATACCCAAGATTAATTGTTGACCCTGGGTAAATTACGAGCAGTGTGAACAATGAAGCAGCATTGTTAACCCAGGGTTTACAATAACCCAGGGTTTACAATGACCCAGGGTTAACCATTTCAAGTGTGAAAAGCCCTTCTGAATGCTGTTGAACCCAATGGAAAGTAATCCCCATCTTGAACAAGTCTAATACATTTAACCCATGTATTCACAGAAAGATTAAGTTAGTCGCCCGATAAAATGCATGTTTGAGCTGTTTTAACTGAAAATAACTTGTACTGGCATATCTTAAAGGGTTAGTTCACCCAAAAATGAAAATTAAGTCATTAATTACTCACCCCCATGCTGTACCAACCCCGTAAGACCTTCGGAACACAAATAAAGATATTTTTGATTAAATTTGAGAGCTGTATAACTACCACATTGGCTCCTAAGGGACTGCCTCTTGACGGCCCAGAAAGTCAATGAAGAAAATGTTTAAATATCCCAAGTGACTACCGTGGCTCGACTATATGTTTATCAAGCGACGCGAATACTTTTTGTGCGAAAAAACAAACAAAAATAACGAGTTTATTCGACTATTTCTGTTCTTCCTTGTAGGCCAGAACGAGACTTCCTTATAGATTTCCACGACGCATGCGCGAGATTTGCGATCTGAAGTGGCGTAAGCTGGTGTGAGCAGATCGCAAATCTCGCGCATGCGTCGTGGAAATCTAAGGAATTCTCGTTCTGGCCTACAAGGAAGAAAAGAAATAGTCGAATAAACTCATTATTTTTGTTTGTTTTTTCGCACAAAAAGTATTCACGTCGCTTGATAAACATATAGTTGAGTCACGGTAGTCACTTGGGATATTTAAACATTTTCTTCATTGACTTTCTGGGCCGTCAAGAGGCAGTCCCTTAGGAGCCAATGTGGTAGTTATACAGCTCTCAAATTTAATCAAAAATATCTTCATTTGTGTTCCAAAGATGAACGAAGGTCTTACGGGGTTGGTACAGCATGGGGGTGAGTAATTAATGACTTAATTTTCATTTTTGGGTGAACTAACCCTTTAATATGTGTCAGTGCTATGGTTTTGTCTCAAGATGCACAGTATGTTTTTTTAAAGGCACATTTTTAAAAGCCCTAATTGAACTAAGGCTTAATCCTGACTTAATCTAGGCCTAAACCTAATTTGTCAAATCCGGCCATTAATTTACTAATACATGCACATTACATGCATTAACTAATGTAAATATAGACATGTATTTTCATGTTATCACTGTGAAGCTGTTATTGTAAAAAGCGCAATATAAATAAAGTTGGCATACAAATTCAGTGCAAGAACCTACTTTACTGCACAATGCGAGTGAGAATTTCACAGGCGGTGATAATGAGAAACCCCAAACACAGCGGACCGTTTCATGCCTGCATCTATTATGGCGCTCATTTCACTTCTGTTTCTAGGCCGAGAAAATGGAGGCGCTTGAAGCGTGTAAACGTGGCGAGACTGCCACCAGCCGCATACTTCTACGACAAAACATTTACAGCCAAAACGAATGTTGGTTTGTTTATTTGCAGTCACCCTATTGTGCTAGATTGCATAATCAACGACTACAAATAAACAAACTCATATCGGTTAACGTTACATCAAGTAACGTTAGCCCTTCAGTTTAGCGCCCCTGTTATATGCAACAACTCAACGTTTGGACCTTAAACTTAATATTAACCTAATAGTTGCAGCTGAAACCCAACCAGAAAATTAGAATTATATATTTATGTAACATCACAGTCTCCACGCTGGTTCTACCGTTACCTCCCTCGTGTCGCGTGCAGATGAATGAACTCACCCGTTTTTCAGATCCACCTCCAGTAGCTTCCCATAACCACCGAAAAACCTCTGGATATCTTTTTCACGGACATGATAACTCAACCTGCCGATATAAACTCGAGGCATGTTGATTTTTTTTTGTTACGCTCAGCAGCCGAAACACAGATTGCCTCCAACAAATGAAACCAGCCACAACAGACTTTTGTCGTGATGTAATTGTAAACCGGAAGCTCTTCGACCTGGAGCGCACCTTCTAAAATAAGAGTGTTTTCAACTTAAAAGTCCTATGTCAAAAAGGCGTCTTTTACCTGAGACATGAAGTCAAATCAAAAGTTATTACAGTGTATCTAAAACGTGCATTCAAATGAACATTGTATGTGTTGTTAGAGGCTTAAAAAGTTGCGATAACAGTGAGAATATAGTGTCACAGTCAGACATAACCCCCCCACATTTGTTAGCCTGGCTGCGCCCTCCTACGCACTTCCGCTCAATTTCATTTTACTTTGCGATCTCCTTACACTACTTCAGTTCAGTTCTCGCGCATGCGTCGTGGAAATCTAAGGAAGTCTTGTTTCTGGCCTACAAGGAAGAAAAGGAATAGTCGAATAAACTCGTTATTTTTGTTTGTTTTTTCGCACAAAAAGTATTCTCGTCGCTTGATAAACATATAGTTGAGCCACGGTAGTCACTTATGATATTTAAACATTTTCTTCATTGACTTTCTGGGCCGTCAAGAGGCAGTCCCTTAGGAGCCTATGTGGTAGTTATACAGCTCTCAAATTTAATCAAAAATATCTTTATTTGTGTTCCGAAGACGAACGAAGGTCTTACGGGGTTGGTACTGCATGGGGGTGAGTAATTAATTACTTAATTTTCATTTTTGGGTGAACTAACCCTTTAAAAATATTCAAATACAAATAGTGAAAGAAATAAGCTGCATAATTTATTTAATGCATGCTGGGAGCCATGAAGCAGTTTTGTATGCTGGCATTTGCTGGAGAGCTTCTGTCCAGTTGATAGGATAGTGTCTGTGTTTGCCGGACATCAGCACGGCTCGACTGGTGAGAAATGGGTCCTGTGAGTGAGGTGAGGAGCTGAGTCCCAGAGCCTCTCGCTTCCCTGGAACCTGTAATCTACAGACGGAGCGTCGGAGGGTTACCCAGACCCCAGGAACAAGGGTGGTTGATATACAAGTACACACTGGAAAGGAGTCAGTCTGGTACTTAAAAGTTAAATTGGTACAACAGAAGGTTCGGAGGAATCGTCCGATGTTCTGGACTTTCCTTTCCATCTATCCGTTTGATTGAGGATGGTAGCTCGATGATGGACTTACGGTCACACCTAGGAGTCCAAACCCTTGAAATGAACTGGGGTCCACAGTCGGTGCCAATGTCTTTGAATAACAACTCATCCCTTTCCATGGCCGTCGTAGTTAATCTTTTGTATTAAATCAACTGACAGGATTTGGAAATTCGATCTACCACAGGGATACAGGTATTTCCTTTGGAAACTGGCAAAATCCACCCATAGATGTGACCGGGGCAATTGGGCATGGGCAGCGGAAAGAGTTTGCCTGAAGGTAGCATGTCGCAATCCGTACACCTTTTCACAAACCTTCTGACATCTCCGGCCATACTGGGCCACCAGAAGCGATCTTGTCACAGCGAGAGGGTTTGATTACCCCCTGGGTGGCCAGTGTCAACAGAAGAATGTGCAGAGTGAATGAAACTGTAGTGTGATTTCTGGGGACAACCCCCCAGCGGAGGTTTTTGGAAGACGCTGGCTTGATTTTCAACTTGGTACTTAGAATGTGTTCAGGAGTTTTAGGAAAGTTCTCAGGAGCAGGATTTCGGGATAAAGAGTTGGATTTGCCATTCTTGTCACCAGGACGATATGAGATCTGGAAGTCAAAATTAGTGAAAAAAAAAAGGATAGTAGGGATCGACCAGTTGTGGATAGCATCTACCTTCCTCTCGTCCATGGAGACACCATCTTGACTAATGTTGTAATAAAGGAACTCTATTTCAGACTGATGGAACTGGCATTTCTCAGCTTTCAGAATCAGGTTGAACTCTCGTAGCTTCTTGAGGACCTCTGTAACTCCTGTAACCTCCTGTTCAGGTATGCTGTGGGAGTAGACAAGGATGTCATTTATATAGACCAGTGTTTCCCAACCCTGTTCCTGGCGGCACACCAACACTGCGTGTTTTCTTTGTCTCCCTAATCAAACACACCCGATTCAACCCATCAGCTCATTAACCCACCTGATTATGAGCTGATGGGTTGAATCAGGTGTGTTTGATAAGGGAGACAAAGAATACACGCAGTGTTGGTGTGCCGCCAGGAACAGGGTTGGGAAACACTGATATAGGCCCTGTCCCAATATCCGCACTTCTACCCTTGTGCCCCTCAAATGCGCGTTCTCGCTAAGGGGTGCAAGACCGTAGGGTGTCCCGATCCTCTAATGTTTTCTCCAGGGGTGATCGTAAGGGCACTTAATGCACCCTTTTCGCAAGTGTGTATCAGACCGCACTTAGCTGTGGGCTATTACCCAGAATCCTGGTAGTGTCATGACGTTTCGAACAGCTAACCAATGGGGGTGCAAAACCGTTGCTATGGTGCTGTTGGACACCGGGAGAAAAAAGAAGCGGCAAGAGGACAAGAAGACGCAAATGGAGAAGAAATGTATTTTTAAGTGTAAGTGAAAATAGCTTTTTTTATCAGAATATGACCGATAAATAACATAATAGACGATGATAGAATTATTTAACTTTCTTTTGTCAGGGTCTGACGAGCAAACTTTTAATTTTATAAAGTTGAGGGCAGAGAATGAGCGGCTATTCACTGGGCACAGGAATGCTTCTAGCCAGGGATATGAGTAAGTTAACATGAGCAGACAAGTTTGTTATTTGAAAGTAAGGGCTTCATCGCAAAGTGTTCTAATGGATGAATGTGTGTCTTTGCAGGGAAATTATCAAAATCATGGGGCTGGAGGGGAAAGTGTCTCAGCAGCAGTGTAAAAAGAAGTGGGAAAATCTAAAGAAAAAGTACAAGGTAACGTAAACTGCACCTTCACATGTTTTGTAGTGCTTATATTGTATTGGTAGTAGTTTTTAATAGGTTTTAGACTATCTACAATGTAAATGCATGTAAATAATGTGTAAATTAACTTTATTTACCATTCATAACTATTACAATTTACATAGGACTTAACACTGCCAAAAACTGGGTCAGGGACAGATGCAGGAGAGGTCACTGCTGCCTCATGGATTTTTTATGCAGCCATGCATGAAGCCATTGGCCAGAGACCTTCAGTCAGACCAGTCTATCTGTTCTCATCTGGACACAGTAGTGTAGAGAGAGGCCAGACACCTGTCAGTGAGGTTGAGGTTGAAGCAATTTCTCCAATAGGCTTCTCCACAGATACAGAGACAACAGAACTCGAAGCAGGAAACTCTACAGACCCCCAGAGTGATCAACCAGGTACATCAACTGATGTCAGACCAGGAAAGAGAAAGAGGAAGAGCGATAATGTAGATTATCTTAAAGAGTTTTGTGAGCGGCAAGAGAAAACACAGAAGGAAGAAAATGAAAGGGATAGTGCTTGGCTCCAAAAGTCTCAGCAGCAAATGGACAGGATGTTAGATATATTTGGAAAGCTGGTTGACCACATGACAGAGAAGTAATAACTTCCTGCTTCGAGTTCTGTTTGTTGTGTGCTGTTCCTGTTTGTTGTTTATATGTTCACTGTGTTAACACCATTGAGCGACGGAATGTATATTTTTTGTTTCAGCGAACTTTGGCTGTATTTCTTGGTTTGGACAAGACAATTGGTATTTTCTAATCCTGCATATGCAATTTATTATTATAATTATTAATACATTAATTAAATGGTACATATGTTTCATCTTTGTTTGATCATCTTTATGAACTGTTCACAACTGATAAGTAAAAATTAAATGTTAACATGAATGACAGCAAATAAAATTGTTTACATAAAGATATTTTTTTTACTTTGTTTAATCATGTATTAATGTGCATTGGAAAAAATTGCTGCCAATTAATGTTTATCAGTAAAAGTCTGGTATGTGCCTCAAATGAAGACAAACAATTATCATTTAGACAAATCACTTCTTTACTGAAACAAAGTACTTCAAAACAAGTTTATAAAAAAAAAAATAATGAGCTGCCAATGCAGAACAATACCAGCAGGTACAAGTGTTGGCTTATAACCACAGAAATATCAACATTTTCAGGACAGATAAATTTGGTACTTGGAGTTGCAAAGTAATTGACAACATTTTTAATTTTACAAAAATATATAACAGAACTGCAAGTACACAATTTCAAGCAAAATAGGTAGAAAAATGTTGATGTGCTATGTCAGAGACCAACGTAATAATTAGGGTGTTAACTTTCTATGAGGTACTTGAAACTAAGTTATGTAGTCATGTTCCAAAAGGTGCCCTTGAACATTAAGGGGTGCTGACACGTGTGCAGCGAGTCTCGCCCGGAGCTGGTTGCCACTTCTCTCCTGTCCAGAATCTGCCGTTGGTGGTTGTGGTGGGTCATCATCAGCTGGCTCTGGTTCCAGGACATCACCATGGGTAAGACATACATTGTGTAAGAATGCACAGGCAGTGACCACCTCTGTGCAGAAGCCAACCTTTACTTCTAAGGCTTTGAAGAGTGTTGCCCTCCAGCGTGCCTTCATCATACCAAAGGCTCGTTCAATAATTGAACGCGCACGTGAATGGCTTTGATTGAAGCGTTCCTCGACCCTTCCTTGAAGTGGCTGTTTGTAGGGTGTGATGATGGTAATGGGGGACTGTATGCAGGGATATCCCCCATCACCAAGAAGGAAAAAGCCAGGTGGGGGGTACTCAGCATTGACATACAGTGGGCTGTTTTTTAGAACACGGGTATCATGTACAGAGCCAGGAAAACCAACAAAGATGTTAAGGAAACGTCCCTCAGAGTCACAGATCGCTTGCATTTGGATGGAATAGAATTGTTTGTAATTAAAATAGTCCTCTTTGTTATGATTTGGAGGCTTGATCCGAATATGGCATCCATCTATTGCCCCTACAGCCTTGTCAAATGCTGTATGCCGAGCAAGGCGTCCAAATCGCAGGCCAACTTCTTCAAGTTCATCATGACGTGGATAGAAAATCACTCTACCAGCAATGTCCATAATCTTCTTAGCAGTCCTGTGCACCA